AATGGAAAATGTCCGACAATTATTTTAAGACATTTTTTTATGTTTATACGTTCTTTTATAATTGTCGGAATTTGGCCATTTCATAATATGTGACGTCATTTGTTTACATTTGGATACGCATCGTGCAGATATGAATGTACAAGAGAAAATCATGGAGAATTGTAGTTTAAAAACAGTAAATTCGATCTGGCTAACCGAAAAGCTCTTCTGTCGCTCAATCGGTTAAAGGCACGTCAGGCTATATGACGGTTCCGTATAGGATACAGGTTCGAATCCTGTGGGAGGACGAATATTTTCTGTGAAAATTTCCCGGACATTCAGGCCCGTAAATGTTGTTTATTTAATTAAATATTTTATCTATAAAAAGAACGTATATACATAAAAGATGTCTTAATATATATATATATATATATATATATATATATATATATATATATATATATATATATATATATATATATATATATATATATATATATATATATATATATATATATATATAAAAAGGTAAAACATACGATAGTATATAATCCAAGTGGATCCCGGTAATATTAAAACTGTTTCACAAAAAGAGCCCAGTACTGAGCAATATATTCAATCTTACTTATTAAAAAACCCAGGTTGTGTGTGTGCGTATGTGTGTTCGTTTATATATGGAATCGGATTTTCCTACATTTTTCAACCGATTTCAACAAAACTTCACAGGACTACGTAAAATTACCTTGCGGTGGTTATGACAGCGCCAAACATTGGAGAAACACAATTGTTTTTGCACGAAATTATTTTGAAAACACGATTAAGAGGCATCGCGAGAATGAAAGGGGGACAACTCATATCGAGTTAATTTATTATAAAACCCAGGTTGTTTGTGTGTGTGTGTGTGTTCGTTTATATATGGGATCGGATTTCCTACATTTTTCAACCGATTTCAACAAAACTTCACTTTTTTTGGTAGGTACTGTTTTTTATTGTCTTGCACACTTTTTTTCTTTATTTTCACATTCAGAATGCTTTAAAAATTCCATTTACAAGACAATTGTTTATAATAAAATTCTATTCAATCGGTAGACTCATAACGATTGAAAACAATGTTTTTGTTTGAGTTTGGGTTTGACCAATTCGTAAAAAAAAACAACAAAAAAAAACATGCGTGTCCGTCAACCTTAAACAATAATCTTTGTCAATTTTATTTTTTAGTCTTTATGATGGTCGATACTTGATCTATCTCTTACTGTTACATCCCCGGGCAACGCCGGGATCTACTGCTAGTAAAGAATAAAATCGAAAAAGACCTCATGAATGTGTTAAAATATCGATATAAATAAAAACTCAAATTTCAATGTTTAACGTAATTAGTTACTCTATTTTCATAATATTCACTCCCGTCTTAGTCTTCAAATGTCTAAAAAACACAGGGAATCTAGAACCTCTAAATATATGGCAGAAGCACCGGGCCATATGTGGCAGCACTATACTAATCATGGACGAATGGTAGACTTATAGATATGTAGGATAGATTCTGAAAAGAAATAATGTCAAGCAGGACACAGCGAACCATCATTCTTATCAGCTGACCTAGCAATGGATTCACTATAGTCTTCTCACTTCATGTCGGCCGAGAATTGATTTCTTTTTCATCCCACCTTCTTGGATCTTTCCACTGCATCCAGGAAGGTGGTTTCGGTCACTTTGGATATTCTAGATGTATGGTATTTTCAGCATTATGTGTGTGTGTGTGTGTGTGTGTGTGTGTATGTAGATACAAATGTCAATTACTTCATCTGCTTTCATCATCTGTGAGAATTTGCAGTTTTGCCTGCAGTTTAACGGGTGTCTTTATTTCTAACCAAATTGTCATGTCTCTTAATAATTCACAATTCTACTTGTTTCTTAGTTCCGTCGTTAGCACATACATTGTGCTCTGTTAATACCTAAAAATAATGGACAATTCCGTTTGATCGCGTGGTAAGGCGAAAAAGACACTGTTGGATTTCAGTGAGAAAAAAAAAGACAGAAATAACATTTTAAAACGAGAATTCACCCCATCATGTTATTGACGTTTCAGTTGCATTCCATTCACACAGGTCGAGTTTCATTTTTTTCGCATTGATTTCCAGGACATCCGTTTTTCACATAACAAACGACATTTGTACAAAAAATTGTTTTTATCTTTTTATACTAGCTTGCGTTTTTTAAACATAAATTCAAGAATTTGTAACATTGTTAAACACAGTGTATTTTCTGTTGGTTTTCTTAAATTGCTCTCATTTGAAAGTATAATAATGTTGAAACTTGACTAATGCATGGCATAATAATGCAACACAAAATGTACTTAGAACAAAATGTATTGAAACAAGATAGTGTACACAATATTTACATATAGTCTTTTGTATGTTCCTGGTAAGACCGTTCCTGGAGAATGTGTTGACTGAGTCGCAGTCAGGCAGAGTCTCTGGTTGAATCTCTTGATTCCTCCCTCTCTTCCCGGTACCAATTTATATGGTCGGTACTCCACTATGCAAATTAGGTGGATCCTACCACAACAAATAATAATAATAATAATAATAATTCTACTTGTTTCTTTGGTTCTCACGCACGTACGTTAAACCTTCCTAAAAAGAACTGGTGATTTCGGCTTGAACCCGAGAAAAGCAGGTAGAAAAAGATACTTCATAGATGCTGTTTGGTTTCAAGGAGAATAAGAAAGAAAGAAAGAAAGAAAGAAAGAAAGAAAGAAAAGTTTAAAGAGTCGATAAGGCTCTTGTGTATTTAAAGTCGACTTGTGACAACGGGAAAACATTGTCAGTTGTTAATCATTTCATTTGTAGCGTCTTACCTCCTTAAATAATGACCTGCGTTCATATATACGATTGTTTATTTTTATGGTTTCACCCCAAGAAGGGGAATAGAGTCATTAGAACGCGGGTGTCTACAGGGATTGAATAAAATATTGAAAGAAAGATAGAAAAGAACAGACAATTCAGAACAAAAGTAGAAAGAAAGAAAGAAAGAAAGAAAGAAAGAAAGAAAGAAAAAGAAAATTGATAGTGATGTAGGTAGAAAGAAAGAAATGAAATATTAGAAGAAAGAAAGAAAGAAAGAAAGAAATGGACAAATAATTCAGAACAAAAGTAGAAAAGAAGAAAGAAAGAAAGAAAGAAAGAAAGGAAAAGAAAATTGATAGTGATGTAGGTAGAAAGAAATGAAATATTGGAAGGAAGAAAGAAAAGAGCAAACAATTCAGTCCAAAATTAGAAAGAAAGAAAGAAAGAAAGAAAGAAAAAATTGGAGTCGATAAGTCACTTGTGTGTTAAAAGTTGAATTCAGTCAACGGAAAAACATTATCAGTTATTAATCAAACCATCTATACCTTCTTACCTCTTAAATAATGACCTGCATTCATATATACGATTTTTTTTATCGTTTCGCTCGAAGTAGGGGAACAATATCATTAGAACGCGTGTGAATGAGGAGTATTGAGGAAAGGTCAAAAGATGAACGGGATTCAAGAAGACAAATGATGCCGATTGACGTTGCATTAAAATTTTTGAAGATTGTCGTTATCAGGTGGGGAATGCGAGAAAACACTGTCAGATTAGAAATGACGGTTGCAACTAGCTTCTCCAGCAGTAAAACGGTGAGCCCTAGTTGCCAATCTAGTAGTGCTCTTAAATTCATGTAGTCAGGACACCAGGAAAAATGATTGTCAGAGCAGTTACCATGGCAATATTTAGAGAACAAACAGAGGGAAGTCACGTCATTGAGAAAGTAACTGGAAACGAGATGCCTGATCAGGATCGATTGCATTGCAATCCCTTCTCAGGATATTGTCAAGAATCTAGAGACGAAGACGGGGAGAACCAAATCAGATATGTCATCAATATGCAATTGTAGAGTTGTAAATGTGCAAGACAAGAAAATCTTTTGGCACGGCACAGTGAACCAACCTAATTTGCAGCAGGCGTAGCATTTGACTCAATATAGTCGCTTCCCTTCATGTCATTGGAAAACGTGAATCCAAGAAGGCGTTGAGTGTTGCTATTCTGGAGTTTAGAGTCAGCCATGCTAATGTCAAGTAGAAAATGTTCCTGTGGTGATTGAATGAAAGAAATTTTGCTTTTGGATACGTTGAAATTTACAAGACATTTCTTGTTCCAGTTAAGCAAATATTGCTTTCATTTTGTTGAAGTTGATAGTTTCAAATATTTCACAATCTAATAGGGGAAGTTGCACGAGAATTTTATAGTTGCAGAACTTTTTTTTAAGCATTTCACCCCTAGCAAGGCGGGAAGCCACTGGTATGCAAGGGGTTATAGAGGATTTGGAGCGAGAGCAGGTAGAAATGATAGAGGAAAGGATGAATTGAAGGATAGTGGATAGATAAAGGCAACTGGAGATGTCGATTGACATTACATTTGAATAGTTGGAGATAATAGCTATCAGGGAAACAGGAATAGGGAAGGGAGTTCCATAGACAAGAAGGTCGAGACATGAAGCTATTGGAGTAGAAGAGGCGTCTACATTTTACAGTTTCAACAGTGAAAGGGTGAGAGCGGCATGCCAGCCTCGTAGGACGCTTGAATTCGCGAAGTCTTGGAACCAGCAAAAACAGCTCATCGGAGCAATTACCATCAAAGATTTGAAAATTTTAATCGAAAAACCGTATTTTTTTACGGTAAATTCTTTTTCTGTGTGCTGTGTTCCTTTGGGACGTTGGCTATCATGGTTCTTCACAGTTTACAGTCTTCTGTAGCTCTGAATAAATTTTGACTGTTATCTCTCCGAAACCCTCTTCTGCCATCCATTTATTCAAGCTAGGAAGGTTAGGGACAGTTTTCCTGTGTCTCTCTTGCCTTCAGTCTGTCCTGTGAGTATCAGAGTTTCCAAGTCCTCTTTCCTCATTAATGGGCCCTAGAAATTCTGTCTCTTTCTGATGTTATCTGTAATTGTCAGTTTTCTTTCAAATTTCTGAAACACATCAAATTTCTGACAGCGAAGCTTTCGGTTCCCGTACGATTACCGAAGTTAAGCAACATTGGTTCTGATCAATACCTAGATGAGTGACGACTTGGGAATACCAGGAGCTGTAAGGGTGGATGTGAGGCTTGTGTGGAATTCTTAATCGGAAAACTGAGTTCCAATCCATTTAGTTTCGTAATATTCACTTATGCACAAATACTTGTTGGAAAGATATAAATCCACCACTTCTTCCCCAAACTATGGGTTTATTAGTAAGACTTGTATCACTAAACTAATATTATCTCCAAAAGAAAAAAATGCTTAAAATCTAAAGACATTTTATGGTTTAAAAAAAAAACAAACATGCAAAGGATTAATAATCTATAGAAACAGCGCCGTTGCTCTCAATTTTGGGTTCATGGTATTCTCAGTATCTTTCTGTAGAACTACATTGCTTATGTTTCAAGCCTCGTTTTCATCTGTGAGGAGATTATCCAGCATTCACTGCCATATAGGAGGACAGATACTACATAACAGTTTAGTACTCTTTTGTTTCTCTTGCTTCAAGTCTCTTCATCTGTGAGGAGATTTCCAGCATTCACTGCCACATACGAGGACAGATACTAAATAAAAAGAGTTCAGTACGCTTTTCGTTATTTCTGTTGCTTCAAGTCTCTTCTTCATCTGAGAGGAGATTGTCCAGCATTCACTGCCATATAGAAGGACTGATAAACAATAACATTCCAGCTCAGTTTTCTTTATTTTCTTGCTTCAAGCCTATTATTCGTCTGCGAGGAGATTATCCAGCATTCACTGCCATATAGGAGGACAGATAATACATAACAGTTTAGTACTCTTTTGTTTCTTTGTTTCTATTGAGAGGAGATTGTCCAGCATTCACTGCCATAGAAGGACTGATAAACAAGTTTCCAGCTCAGTTTTCTTTATTTTCTTGCTTCAAGTCTATTATTCATCTGAGAGGATTGTCCAGCATTCACTGCCATATACGAGGACAGATAATACCAGTTTAGTACTCTTTTGTTTCTCTCTTGCTTCAAGTCTCTTCATCTGTGAGGAGATTTCCACTGCCACATACGAGGACAGATACTAAATTAAGAGTTCAGTACGCTTTTCGTTATTTCTGTTGCTTCAAGTATCTGAGAAGATTGTCCAGTGCCATAAGAAGGACTGATAAACAATAACATTCCAGCTCAGTTTTCTTTATTTTCTTGCTTCAAGTCTATTATTCGTCTGCGAGGAGATTGTCCAGCATTCACTGCCATATACGAGGACAGATAATACATAACAGTTTAGTACTCTTTTGTTTCTCTTGCTTCAAGTCTCTTCATCTGTGAGGAGATTTCCAGCATTCACTGCCACATACGAGGACAGATACTAAATTAAGAGTTCAGTACGCTTTTCGTTATTTCTGTTGCTTCAAGTCTCTTCTTCATCTGAGAGGAGATTGTCCAGCATTCACTGCCATATAGAAGGACTGATAAACAATAACATTCCAGCTCAGTTTTCTTTATTTTCTTGCTTCAAGCCTATTATTCGTCTGCGAGGAGATTATCCAGCATTCACTGCCATATAGGAGGACAGATAATACATAACAGTTTAGTACTTTTTTGTTTCTCTTGCTTCAAGTCTCTTCATCTGTGAGGAGATTTCCAGCATTCACTGCCACATACGAGGACAGATACTAAATTAAGAGTTCAGTACGCTTTTCGTTATTTCTGTTGCTTCAAGTCTCTTCTTCATCTGAGAGGAGATTGTCCAGCATTCACTGCCATATAGAAGGACTGATAAACAATAACATTCCAGCTCAGTTTTCTTTATTTTCTTGCTTCAAGCCTATTATTCGTCTGCGAGGAGATTATCCAGCATTCACTGCCATATAGGAGGACAGATACAACATAACAGTTTAGTACTCTTTTGTTTCTCTTGCTTCAAGTCTCTTCATCTGTGAGGAGATTTCCAGCATTCACTGCCACATACGAGGACAGATACTAAATTAAGAGTTCAGTACGCTTTTCGTTATTTCTGTTGCTTCAAGTCTCTTCTTCATCTGAGAGGAGATTGTCCAGCATTCACTGCCATATAGAAGGACTGATAAACAATAACATTCCAGCTCAGTTTTCTTTATTTTCTTGCTTCAAGCCTATTATTCGTCTGCGAGGAGATTATCCAGCATTCACTGCCATATAGGAGGACAGATACTACATAACAGTTTAGTACTCTTTTGTTTCTCTTGCTTCAAGTCTCTTCATCTGTGAGGAGATTTCCAGCATTCACTGCCACATACGAGGACAGATACTAAATTAAGAGTTCAGTACGCTTTTCGTTATTTCTGTTGCTTCAAGTCTCTTCTTCATCTGAGAGGAGATTGTCCAGCATTCACTGCCATATAGAAGGACTGATAAACAATAACATTCCAGCTCAGTTTTCTTTATTTTCTTGCTTCAAGCCTATTATTCGTCTGCGAGGAGATTATCCAGCATTCACTGCCATATAGGAGGACAGATAATACATAACAGTTTAGTACTCTTTTGTTTCTATTGCTTCAAGTCTCTTCTTCATCTGAGAGGAGATTGTCCAGCATTCACTGCCATATAGAAGGACTGATAAACAATAACATTCCAGCTCAGTTTTCTTTATTTTCTTGCTTCAAGCCTATTATTCGTCTGCGAGGAGATTGTCCAGCATTCACTGCCATATAGGAGGACAGATATTAAATAACATTTCAGATCTCTTTTCTTTGTTTCTCTTGCTTCAAGTCCTTCATTCATCTGTGGGGAGATTGTCCAGAATTCACTGCCATATAAGAGGACTGATACTGCATAACTGTTCAAGACTTTGTTCTTCGTTTCTGTTGCTTCAAGTTTCTTCTTCGTCTGTGAGGAGATTGTACAGCATTCGCTGCCATGTATTGTTCATTTATGAATAATTTGAAGAGTATTTCAAGTATATGGGAGGCTTGTGCCTTGGTTATATCCAAATAGTGCGCCATTTAAACATGAGGGATTTCAGTCTCCATGGAATTTTGTATCTCAGAGGGTTGGCTTCTGAGTAAGGTAAAGGACGACTCCGTACTCCTATCTATTATTGCCAATCAATTACAAATATCTTCTTTTCTTCGCTCAATGACTATATCTACTCGCTGAAGTGTATCATTACGATCAAATGTCAGGATCAATATAAATGGTAATTCTTTAGCGGTTTATTAAAGCAAATTCGTAATAAATATCTAAGAAGATTCTAGACTAAAATCAACTCCGAAATATACGTAAGCACTTCCAAAAATACGTCTAAATAGACGCGGGCCTTTTATTTGTAATGTTTGAATGAATGCAGACGACAAGTCATTTCAGCGCGGGAGAGCGAACAACGCACAACAAATTTGGCTGCAAATTTTGGTAGACACAAATCGGACCAACGCCGAGAGCGATTGGAAAAGCAGACAGGCCATTATTGAGACAGAAATCTTCGACGAAGTTTCAGTTTACAAACAGTCCTTAATATATTTCGCGAAATGAGACTTTTATTTGCATTTATTTTGTCAAAGTGGCTACAATGAGTGTCATTAAAACTTTCTTTCTATCTATCTATCTATCTATCTATCTATCTATCTATCTATCTATCTATCTATCTATCTCGATCTCTTCATATTTATCATATTTATCTATCTCATGAGTGTGTGAGTATCAGGATACCTATTTCTATCTATCTATCTATCTATCTATCTGAGTATGTTCACTATATATCTATCTATCTATCTATTTCAATTTGGTCATTTATATAGATCTAACTACCTATTTATCTTTCACTCTTCATTCATTCCTATCTATCTAAATTTGTCCATTTCTATGTATGTAAGTAGCTTTCTCTGTCTATCTATCTATCTATCTATCTATCTATCTATCTCAATTTGTTCACTTATATATATATATATAGTGTATTTATGCAGCTATCCTCATTCATTCATCTTTGATTAAAAAACGCAGACAAGGTACTGCTTTTAAGAATTTTATTTCATTTTTTCTGTATTTGAAAACGTGTTTTCTTTTCTGTACACAGAGTGTGTAGAAACTGTCCAAATGTTCTGTAATTCCGAGCGCTTTCGGCTATACTTTTAGCCATTATTAATGATGGTTTTATCTTTGCTTTTTACTAGGTGAATGGGGTGTGTGTATATATCTAGAGTTATAGAAATGTTTTATTTTCCGAACACTATCAGCACATTTTGGCCGTGTTCGTAATTATTATTATTTAGTGTTGGCTTTTTCTTTTTTATCATTAAGGCTTCCATTATTTTAATCTTTTTTTACATGTGGGTGAGGTTATTATATTTGTATTTTCTACTAGTATGCTTCGGATGGAGACTAGTAAGTATGTCTGTGTGTTTAAATGGATTCTAATTGAGCTATGGTCAGATAGGTGTAACGTAAGGCGCCTGGATAGGGATGTAGTTGTGTGACCTATGTAATTATTTATGAGCTCCGTTTGATCAGGAATCAGTTCCTTAAAGAGTATTTGAACTCATAAATGATGTTCGTTGGTTGTAATTATTATTTTGCAGTTGTGCTGTTACTTTTTAGGATAAGGTTAGCTGGTGTAAATTTTTTGTAATAGATAACTTAATTTTTTTGTTCGGGTCAATTGGGGTAGTGTATTTCTTTATGATATTTCTAAGTGAAGATTCATCTTGTTTATGGTTGACGTACATTTGGCTCTTGTAGAAAATATCTATGCTATTTTTGTCTGTGTGTTCAATATTGTTACTCTTTACTTTGGAAAGAAATAGTCTAATCTGGTGGTCGAAGAGGTGATTAGGAAAACGATTGTTAACTAGTGTCTGTTTTGCATTGTTGAGCTCTTTAAGGAAACATAGACGAGAGGATGAATTCTCGTGTGCTCTCTTTAGGGAGTATTTTATTACTGTTGTCACTGTATTCTACGAGAACGCCTAAGAATGGGAGTTTATATTTTTTGACTAAGTTCGTAGGTAAAAATAAGGAGAGAGTTTTCAAATGTGGTTTTAAGAGTATCTACTTCTTTTGTGTTTTTCGCTAAAATAAAAATATCGTCTACGTAGCGGACATATATTTTAGGTTTACAGATCTGTTTAATA